AATCAGTATCCTGTTCAAGGAAATACATTACATATTAGCTTATTTTTGAAGGCACTCCTTATATCATGCCAGAAGACACACTGGGAAAGTGTTCAATCTGTACCCTTCATGACTGAGTGCTAGAAGAAACGCCATGCTGCATATTAGCATCATATTAACATTAAGCTAGCAAAACTTTGTAACTATTGCTTTTATAATACCTTAAACTTTTTAATTTTCTTTTTATATGATAATGATTCTTAAATGTTTTGAAACAAAATTATACAAGCTCAGGAATGAGAAATATGAAAGTATCTCAATTCATTTTTCAGTCATACAGAATAGAAACAGCTGCTCTAATTTTTATTGTGTTCCAATTATTTCAAATTTGTTATACTCTAAAATTTTTGAATTTTATTAAAAAATTTAATACATATTATTTCAAAAATTTGAATTNATTTTTTTTTAGATTAAAATAATTAAATTTAAAGTAAAATTTTCCTAGTTCATAGTAAGTATACAGTGATTAACGGGTGATAAAGTTCTAGTCTGGAAGTGATCGCGTACGTCATGTTACGTAATCACTCGTTTTTGAAACTTCGAACCACGATTCTGGCACGATGCCGAACTTTCTCTCCTCTTGTGTTAACTATATAATTTTTCCACCCTTTTATCCTGAATGGGCAATGGTTTAACACGAGAATTTTCTGTTATCCAGACTAGAACTTGGTTTTGATGTTAAACTGCTCTTACCCATTATATCCGGGTGTCGGTTGTCTTTGATTAATCCCCTGTTGACTATATCCTTTCGGACCAGTCCCAGTCTGGTACGGTTGTTGAGCCGTTGATGTGTATGGGGTGGGTGCCATGCTGGTGCTACTACCCGTTCCTCCAAAAGACGAATGGACTGTGGGTCCGCTCTGAGTACTGCTAGACACTCCCCAAACTGTTGTCACCACAGAAAGTTGCTGTTGAGCCGTCTGATGATTCGGTGTCGGTGGTCCTGGCTGTTGCGATTGCTGCCATCCCAACGGTGCCATGGGATCACTAAAACAGGTATAACTGAAGGGGAAGAGAAAAAATATATCTTCCCTCAATAAAAACAACTCGACATTATAACACACATTCCCAAGCAGCAGTTTTCATCAATAATTAAATTGTTTACTGTACACATATTATGCAAAGATACCAGGAAAAAAATACGTAAATTTTCGCTTAGAACGACGGGATAGTTTAAGTATTTGCTTGGCAAATTGCCTATGAGATGTCATTTTAAATTGTCACAGCGTTGCAAAACGTTTATATACCTTTAAACACCAATAAAATTGCCACCAAAAAATAAAAAAAAGCCTTAATTTATACNATTATAAAGGTAAAATTATAAGTCAAGGTAAGTCAAGTTATACCTTGACTTATGCAAATTCGACTTACGTGGTAATCGCTCAGTCCCACCTATTGCGTAAGTTCGGGGTATTACTGTATATGCCTAGTTATTAGTAATGTATCAAAACACATTTAACATTCATATGTTAAAGAGAATATAATTACACGCTAATACCATCTAAAACTCAGCTTTATTAATTCATTATTATTAAAAAATTATATATTAAACATTATATTAAAAAATATATTAAAAAATGCTTGCAAAGCTTTCTCAATCAGTTCATATAAAAATATAACCAGCTTCAAAATAAATAAAAAATAATAATTTTTCTTTATGTATCACATCTCTCAGAATTACTGATTTTAAGAGCAGTTTGTGTGTGTGATTATTGCAGTTTTTATAAATTATTTCATAAGTTATTAAAGAAAGTTTTATACTAACATACACATGGAAAAAAGATCCAAAATGGTTTATTTTAATGACATATTATCATTGCTCAGCTATCCTGATAATAATATCTACTTTATATATCCTGATGATAATATCTACTTTATATAAAATAACAATATAATAATTTTATTTTATAATATCTACTTTATATAAAATATTTGATTTAAAATCATCACCACTTTTTTCACATGCACAACAATACAAAAAAAAAAAAAAAACAGTGGCACTGGAAATTGATAAAATTGTCTTAAAATTTTTATGAATAGTCTATATTGGGAATAAAAGGTCAAAGCCTGTGGGGCAAGTGGCAAATCTCCTGTAGAATCATAATAGTTTCTTTAGAAAGAGAACCAATTTAAACTATTTTTACATGATTTGTTTATTTTTTTTATAGACTATATATTCTAAAAGCAAAACTAAATTAATAATGTCACTAATGTAATAAAAACAACTGGTAAGTTCCTAAACCCAGCCAATACAAACCACCATAAAATTTGGAATTTCTAAGTGAGTAAATTGGCCATCACAAAGTTACTTGATTATGCTTAACAATGACTGGCATTTGTATGAAGTACAATGACTGTTTGTAATTTTTAAAACATCTGTAAGTATTTATACTGTATACTTTAATCCTGTAGCTGCAGAAGACTGACACATCAAAATACATTTGTAAAGAATTAAACTTTGGAAATTTTGTGTGTTACCTGATTTCTTTAGTACCTATTATTTAGTTGTTATTACATTATTAATATAATTTACTAGTTCCTTCATTGTAAAAATTTTGAATTTATAATACTGTGCTTAAAAGCACAGTAATATAAATTCAAACTATTCAAAATACCAAAAAGACCTGTCACTCTAAATCAAGTCTTGAAAAATAGTAGGATTCAACTGCTGAGTGATTAATTTAAAGTGCCAAATTATATTTATGATAACATGATATAATGCTATTGTTGAAAGTTTAATTTTTGAATTTTATTATTCTGAAATGTTTTGACAATATTCCTATAAATAATATTTGATAGTAATGACCAAATATAAAAAAAAATATTCAGAATAATCAACGCAATGCAGAAGTTTAAGAAACGAAGATTAAACTAGGGATCTAGAAAATTATTGCAATATAGAAAATTATACACAAGATTGAGTAAATCCTCACTTATTGTCATCAACAGATTCTTGAAAACTGCAACATTAAGCAGAAAATGACTTGTTACAAAACTGATTTTACTGTAGGCTAAATACTATAAACAAAATATAATTCAGTTATTATTATTCTAATTGGATCATGTTTGCAACCTCTGGTATTTATTTTCCACCTCATAGAATCAATTCTACTGTATATAAAGAAAATTCAATAATAATTGTAAATGATTACAAGTGTAATTGTATCTTTCCTTGAGAATATTATAATAAAACAGCATTAAGCGAGAACTTGCTGTGTTTGAAATAATTCTAATCTTAATACAGTCAGCCTATTATAATAATTTGCAAAGAATTACCAGATTATTATTTAAACAATTAAATTAATTGATGATGAATAATCATTACAATTACACTAGAGTCTAAAATTAATATAAATCTGAAAATTTGGATAGAAGCAGTGTAACTAGTAATATGCTCATATTTTAAGTAGGAATTAAGGATTTGAATCCTGTTCTGGATTGTTGTCTTTCCAGATGATTCTAAATCCAATCATTAAAGTCATTAATAGATAGAAAATATTCATTCTAGTAGTACTTATTTATTCAATCATTGAATAACTTAATGAATTAAACAATAATCTAGTAATGTTTGATAATTATTACATATTTGATATTAGTAATAATCAAGTTGACATATCAAATCTGTTTGAATCACTAAAGCTTTCAAGAATTGCAAACAGTGAGTAATATATTATGAAATTTCATGATAAAAGGTTAAACAAAATAGCAAGTTACAGGAAAAATTATTCTTGTAATTCTGGAAAGTAAAGTGCAATTTCTACCTTCAATACATAATAAGTTTGTTAACTTAAATTAATAATGATTAATTTGAATATTTAAAGATATAAGCAAGAAATATTGAGCATATCCAAGGATCCCAAAAATTTTAATCATATACAGTGGTACCTCAGGATACGAACGTCCCAGCATACGAAATTTTCAGGATACGATATGAAATTCAAACATATTTTTGCTCCACGATACGAACANTTTATTTCTACAAAGTTTTTCTTAAATTTTGTTTTTGTAAATAAAAATGATAAGTTACTGTTTAACCTGTACTACTAGTGATAAAAAAATAATCAATAATACAAAAAAACAATAAGAAATACTTTCCAACATTATTGTTACTCAAAACTAAAAAACCCCCCATCACATTTGTGAAATTATTTTCTTTTTTCCCTGCTATTGATATTCCATGAATAAAAACCAGATGTTTTCTTTCTAGATGTCTCTTGTTTGCTAACAAATTGCAAAAACCATAAAATATTAAGTATTTTTGCTATTTTTAAGAAACTAATAAGATTATATTCCAATTAAATAATGAAAAACAGCTACAAATTCTTTTAAAATATAACAAAAATTGATTTCATAGGAATTAAATCTAGAATGAACTTCACTGAAACAGATTTTTTGTTATATCGGCAAATTCTTTTCTTTCAAATAGGGTCCTCGTTTATATTATAAAGTCATGTGACAGGAAAAAAACATTTATGTAAACTCAAAGTTTATTCATTAATCTCAACGCTATATATCAACAATACTTTTAAACCGATGGTGTAAAATTCCTTCAGAGTTATAAACCTCATTTTCTAAATAATAATGTGATCATCTGATACATTAATAGGAAAAACAATCTACAATAATTCGGGAACAAATCTACAATTAAAAACATTGTTTTAAAAAACTTATTTAAAATATTAACTTATTTGAAGTTAATTTAAACAACATAAAATTAATTCACATATTTTACCAACATTAATCCTCTGTAAATTATAAGTTTATTTTCTATTATTAACCCAAACATATCAGGTCATTTAGAAATAACTTTTCCAAGGCAGTTTACTTTTGAGAGAAATAAGCAAAAATTTTAAGTAATTAAAAGACAGTTTGATAATGTATTTTTCAATATTTAATTTTGCAACTGTAAGGTACATGTTCTAACACATTTTTTCACATTATCTAAATTCAAAATTACTTACTTGCATATTTTGCTGTGGATACTGAGAACCATAAGTAGGGTCATACTGAGCCTGCTGGGATGCACCATTCATTTGACTTTGCTGATAATACTGGCCAGCCTGTCCAGCATAAGGAGGTGCACTCTGTCTCATAGTAGGACGCATTTGTTGTTGAGAGAGGTAATTGTTCGAAGCCATAGTTTGCTGCTGCATTGTTGGCCCATATTGTTTAGCAAATTGAGCTTGACCACCAGAATACTATAATATATAATAAATTAATGCAGAGACTATTTCTTGGTACTATTATATATATTTATTGATGTTAATATATTTACTTATTACCTGCATTGGTGCATAACCCTGTTGTGTTCCTGGTCCATAACCTTGCATTGCAGGGCTATAAGATTGGGCAACGTGATTATATTGTGCTGCTCTCTTTTGAGATATTTGTTGAGGACTGGGATATGGTGCAGATCGGCCACGAACTTGTCCACCCATTCCAGTAGTTGCTCCAGGATACATTCCTGGTGTCTGCTGGCCAGGTCCAGCCATATTCTGAAGACCATGCATCATAGGTTTATTCATGTTCATAGGTCCATTCATAGACATTTGGGAATTAACAGAATTCATAGAATTAGGCATTCCCATCATTGCATTGTTTACAGAATTCATATTTCCAGGCATCTGATTAGACATTGCACCTGCCATTGGAGTTCCTAATGGAGTATTAAGTGGATTTGTCATTCCAGGATTGGAAGGTACACGTTGTGGTGCAGGAGGACCATAACCTGGTTGAAACTGTTGGTTCTGCATTCCCTGCATCTAATAAACGTCATAAATATTTTCATAAATACAAGTTATATTTTAAAATATTGCAATTCGTTTATTATTTTATTTTTTGTTATATAATGATATCTTACCTGACTGTACTGATTATTCATAACTACCTCTTGCTGCTGCCTTTCTTGAAGAGCAACAACACTAGCTGTTGCTGTTGCTGTAGCTGTTGCTGCTGCAGCAACCAGAGCGGCAGCACTGAGAGCATTGTGAGGATTTTGAAAATCTCCATTTCCTCCTGCATTTGGCATTGCACCACCCATGCCATTCCCAACATTTGAAGGATTTGGTCCATACCTGAAATTAATTAACATAAATTAATATTGTCTTAATTTAAATAATACAGAATAAAATTTATGATAAAATAAACTAAAAAATAAGCATTTTCTCTTCTACATTAAATTCAAAATAATAAAATCTATTAAACTTGTGCTCAGTTTAACTAAACATCTGTTATATGAGTGGATAGCAAATAAACAACTGCATAAATATTTAAATAGTAGGAGAATTAAATGTTGTGCAAATTATTTTATAAATAATATAAGCATAAAAATATGTTTTTAATTCATACTTCAAATCTAAATAAAAATTAACCTTTAATAAATCTTGCATTAAAAAAATTATCAATCAAAGTTTAATTAATAAACCTAAAATCTATTTTCCATTAATTACAACAAAATAAAAATTTCCTTTAAGACAAAAACATCAAAAATATTTTTGGTATTTCATTAATATATAAAATTTGGTATTTTTCATAGCAGACCATCATCACTCATAGAAGATTCTTGTAATAAAAGGATTGCCCCCTCTTCTATGAAAGATTAGATGCCTAAGCTTCATTTTTCACTATACATCACCAAAAATGCACTGCCCCATAGATAGTTCTGACATTCCTTACAAAAATTCCAGTAAATAAATCCTTCCTACAAAAGTGATTGAGCTATATTTTTTTCCTATAAAATTTTTCCAAAAATTGTGTATTCCCCTGTACAAAAGTAATTTTGTTTAGCAAGTGGACAATCAACTAATATAATAAAATAAAAGAAATATTTCATTTGGGTCATTGATCTTAATTTTCNTCTGGAAAATTATGTAACATTTTTCTATTTTATTTATTTGATATATAAAATATTAAAAAAATAATAATAAATTAACATATATTTCAATGTAATTATCAATTAAAGTTAATATTCTTAAAAACAACTTTAAAATTCTTAAAATATTAAATATTAAAAATCATTCTTAACATTGAATCAAGGTAACTTGACTTTAATATTAAGAAGTTGCAACTTTATTTAACAATACAAAAATCAATTCAACAATAATTAATTTTAATTGCATTAAAATTCTAAATATTAAAGAAGGCAAGCATTCAATATGGAGAAAGTGATTGAAGGAATTCAATGGAACATAATAAATTCAAGAAAAGCTTTTAGCTAATGATAAAACCAAAATATTCTACTAGTTCAGATAAACAAAACTTCAAATTAGCTAAAAGGTTAATTATTAAAATTTAATTTTTCAAAGCTAGACCATTATAAAGATTCCCAATATCTAAATAATAAATACATAATGACATTTATAATAAAAGAAGTTTATACATTAAATACTAGTTAATATTCAACTTTATTAATATAAAAATAATTTTTAGGAATTGATACCGACTTTTTATACATTATTATTGTAAGGTATCTAAAGAGTATAGTAGTTTTTCTTTAAAAATGTTTTAGAAATCTTATATCACACTTATAATGATACAAATGCTTTATAAATAATAGAATTATAAAAATCATCATCATATCTTACAACACATATAAGTTATACGATCCAAAAATAGCATTACCATTGTAAAAAAGCATAGCAGTATATAATTATAATTCAGCAAAACAGATGGAAGATAAACAAGGACACAAGTAAAATGATTATACACGTACAACTAAGCAAAGGAAAATAAATATGTACGACAAATAATTAAATTAATCATTTATAGCAATAAAATAAACGAAGTTCAGCTTAAATGACAAAAGTCGCAGCCAAATCCACATTTCGTAAGACAACGGCTTATAAAATGGGCTAAAAACACTTCAAAATTTATTGCTGGAATATAAAGGTATTCTCTTATTGATTTGTTTTGTGCAGTTTAGATTAATTTTGTTTTTATATAACAACAAAAACAGTGAAAAAAAAATATTTATAACAACAAAATAAACTGGCAAATAGCATATATAACAATAACATTCAAAGCTAAGCATTCGTTTTGTCATCAGACAAAGGCTCATAAACTAGACTCGAACAGAATCTAGTTATACCATAACCGATTTGACTTATCCGGGCTTGGATGGTTTTTGTCCACACGTATCATCTCACGCAAAGATTATGCCACAGTGGATCAAGGCAATCAAACAGAGGATTCTTCGCTAACCTGACGATGCTGTTTTTTGCTTCGAAAGTTCTGACACATACAAAATTCTCTGTTGTCGACTTATTTTATCCAGTTTTGGATTCATTTTATTTGTATCTAACAGAATAAGGTGAAAACTAATAGAGTAGCACATGATCAACTCTTCACATTTATTACAGAAAATCACCAATTTTTATAAAATTAATATGGAACCACTCCCAAAAAACGTATAAATTTATTAATTTGAATAAAAAACAGCACAAAAATTAATTTTGTAATTCGAAAAAACAACAAACAGACGACAAAAACAACACTTGGCGTCGTCTGCCTACGACCACCGCGCTAAGCCTAACGTGGAAATAAGTAAATGCCATTTCTAATGCCTTTACGAATAAATTACAACTTTTTAAGCTTTTAATATTTATTATTGTTGGCCTTTTATTATTTTTAACCACCTCTCACCTACCTACACTCCACGGTAACTAAGGTAAGACCCCTATTTCCCTCCATTAGCGCACTTTTTTTAATACCCGAGGGCCTAACCCGGCCTGGGTGACGTCATTTCCGGCGGGAGATGTACGACGTTTGACTTGGTCTCTTTTATCTTCCTCTTATAAAAATTATTTATATAATAATAAACTTTACTTTTCCTTTTCTTCCATTTTACCAAAAAAGATGACTGATGGTGCAAGAAAGAAGAGCATGCGCCGCTTATACCAAATAATTTGCGCATATGCAAATATAAATTGTGTCGTCGCCATCGTCGCCATTTACCATTCGTTTAAAAATGTTTAAATCGACAGTTTAAAATTATCATCGTTTACGACGTTAAGATTAATTTTTTTATATATTTTTTATTTTTAGTGTTATTAATATTATCGTTATTACTTTCGTATTTTTAGAAGAATTTATCACCATGTTTTTCTTTCTCTCTCTGCTCGCCGCCGCAGTGACGTCATCCAACTGCATGACGCAGTCTCGACGTCATTGCAGACGGAAGAGCAGGCTCGTTACTTATTCCGCACTCGACTGGAGAATAAAAGATAAAGATAGGAAAACAGAATATAGAAAAATAAAAGAAATATAAAAAAGAAAAAAGAAATTTTGACGTATTCCTAAAGGAAATAAATGCCGAAGATTGGATTATTTTACTTTATTTTTTTCTCTCTCCCTCTCTCTTTTTGTTAACTACGCAGTCGCTGTTATGCTAATAACAAATTTATGTTTTTTTTTCTATTTACGTAAATATTAAATTATTTTATGATATAAAATACTCTAAAATTCCTTTAAAATAATTTAAAGCATTAATAGTTATACAAGAATGCTTACAAATTTAAATAAAATGTTTTAATTCTAATCCGCCATGACAGTTAAAGGCAATTTGACTTGCTTTATCATGGAGTCGTCTTAAATTAATTTTTTTTTTATATTTAAAAATTTTTTAGGTTTAGTATCACACGAAAATAGATTATTTACACAACAAATTTGTTTTTTTTTAATTAAACTGAGACAAATTTTTAATTAATATGAGACAAATTTTCGTATTGCGCGCGAAAATTAATTTTTGAAAATTGAAATAGTAATTTCGAATTTAAATTTTTTTTTAGATTAAAATAATTAAATTTAAAGTAAAATTTTCCTAGTTCATAGTAAGTATACAGTGATTAACGGGTGATAAAGTTCTAGTCTGGAAGTGATCGCGTACGTCATGTTACGTAATCACTCGTTTTTGAAACTTCGAACCACGATTCTGGCACGATGCCGAACTTTCTCTCCTCTTGTGTTAACTATATAATTTTTCCACCCTTTTATCCTGAATGGGCAATGGTTTAACACGAGAATTTTCTGTTATCCAGACTAGAACTTGGTTTTGATGTTAAACTGCTCTTACCCATTATATCCGGGTGTCGGTTGTCTTTGATTAATCCCCTGTTGACTATATCCTTTCGGACCAGTCCCAGTCTGGTACGGTTGTTGAGCCGTTGATGTGTATGGGGTGGGTGCCATGCTGGTGCTACTACCCGTTCCTCCAAAAGACGAATGGACTGTGGGTCCGCTCTGAGTACTGCTAGACACTCCCCAAACTGTTGTCACCACAGAAAGTTGCTGTTGAGCCGTCTGATGATTCGGTGTCGGTGGTCCTGGCTGTTGCGATTGCTGCCATCCCAACGGTGCCATGGGATCACTAAAACAGGTATAACTGAAGGGGAAGAGAAAAAATATATCTTCCCTCAATAAAAACAACTCGACATTATAACACACATTCCCAAGCAGCAGTTTTCATCAATAATTAAATTGTTTACTGTACACATATTATGCAAAGATACCAGGAAAAAAATACGTAAATTTTCGCTTAGAACGACGGGATAGTTTAAGTATTTGCTTGGCAAATTGCCTATGAGATGTCATTTTAAATTGTCACAGCGTTGCAAAACGTTTATATACCTTTAAACACCAATAAAATTGCCACCAAAAAAATAAAAAAAAGCTTAATTTATACGATTTAACTAAACATTAAGCATTATTTAATTACTTAAAATTTTAACTATTACTTTTCCTTAAGAAAATAAATTTTAAGCGATTTAAACGCATTAAAAATCTCTCGTTTTATAACTAAAATTAAAGAATTTTTCCCTCTAAACAGGAAAATCTAGTATGGCTGAAACTCTGTAAAACGATACATCATTGTTTCTAAATTAAAAAATAAAATAAAAAATAAATAAGATAATATTCGCATTACATAATAACCTACGTAATATTATAAAAGTTAAAATAATTAATTATATTTTCACCACACGTCATCATATACCGTATCGTGATTATATATAAAATAATCACTAGCTTAATTAATTTTAAAAGATTTATTATAGTTTCACGCTTTCCTATAACGCGAAGG